AGCCTTGTCAAATTTAATGACTGGCTTCTTTAATTTATCCCATGACTTCTACTAAATTCTTATCCCCAAATCTGACCAAATCCTCATGATCACTAAACAAAAGTGGCAAAACTAGGCTCCACCTGACACACACAGTACAGTGGAAGAAAAGTGGGCACTTCCAAGGGCAAACAGCAGCATGACTACACGTTTTCTCAAAGAGCAAAGGGGCAACACGAAATACAATGCTCACGCCATGCAGATAGGGCACTGCCTTTCTACCGTTAAGAACAGCTTCAAGGAGGTGCCTATGGCTCAAAGGAGTAGGGCGCCAGGCCCACATACCAAAGGTGGCAGGTTTAAACCCAGCCCCGGCCAAAAAGTGCAAAAAAAAAAAAAAAAAGAACAGCTTCACTTCTGCATTTTGCAAACAATGGTAAGCAACTGGTCTCTTCAAGACATTGTGTCAAGAGAAGGGGAAGGGGAGGTTGGTGCAGCAGGGGACCACAGTGAGAGATGGATACCAGCCCTCAACAGAGGCAGGAGCAACATGTCCTGGAATCTGGAAGATATGATGAATGCAGAATGTCAGGATAATATAGGATAAAGGGTGGTCTCTGGAAGGAAGTGGTATCGAGCTGGCGCTCCATGAGCAAGAACAACAGCTCCCCAGGAAGACAATGGGGCAACAAGAGACAAGACAGAGACGCACATGAGTTCAAGGCTGCTCGGGAGAGGTGATGGGCACTGTGTTCGGAGCAACTGGGGCCACAGAGAAAAGTCCATGGTACAGCTCCCCTGAAGAGCTACCGGGGGCAGACTGCAGAGGGCCTTATACCCTGTGCCAAGAACCCTGGATCCTTCCCTATAAGCACTGAGAAGCTTCTTTTCTTTCTTTTTTTTTCTTTGGAAGAAAGGATTTATTTCTGAGGATACATCATCGACTGGGAGGGGGGAGGCACAGGCTACCTCAAAGCCACCTCTCAGATTAGCAGGGTTAAGGGGGTTTTATGGAGGTCAAAATGAATAATGCATAGAGGGAGTGTACTCCTTGTATATTTGGGGTGGAGTGGAAGGCACACAAGTGCAGTGGGGAATCTTGCTAGTTCATACATCCCATGAACAGAAAATGGTGGGTGAATACCTCCCCAGGGTGGGACTTTCAGTATTATAATGAGCTGGGGTTAACACTGCTCATTCTTTCACCCTTGTGTACTGGCTCAGTGGCTCTTGTTCACAATCTGCGTTGCCATATCGCTTATCTTGACTTTCTCTGTATATTCTGGTAGAGTAAGGTGCTGTAGTTATCTCAGGGCTGCAAAGAGGTTCTGTTGTTTCCATCAAGCCCCCAGGCCTGTCTGCCAACCATCTATAAACATGAGAGCCACACTCAACACTTTCATGACAGCTACTTTTACAAAGCTGATGATGGTCATGATGTAGTTATGTAAGCTGTTTACAAAATCTTCACTCATAAGAGGAACATCTGATCAATCTGCTCTCGTACCAGTTCTGTGCTCCAAACTGAGTAACTCGTTCATGTAGAAGGCCTTCTTTAAGTTGTGGCTTTTCAGCAGTATTAACCAGCTCATCAAAGAGTAAAACATCTAGACTGTATTTTACCCACTTTATTTGCAATAAGAGAAGGAATACATCATTATAAATTTTTTGACATTCCAAACTTATAACAATGTCCACAGGCCATGAGACCTTGTAGCTCAGGGTCAGACCATCTAAGATATGAACAGGTAGTTTCTTCCTAGCTGTGTCCACATTTTCAAAACATACAGATAGACATGAACTATCTTCAGGATAACCTTGTCCTACTGCTTCTTGGAGTTGGACATTAAGAAACGACACATTCTGCCAGGTTTCCTTTTCCCTTATTTAATCAAAAATTGATGTGTAGAAGTCATACATGGTATCTCCACCTTCCATCAAGAAAAATTCCTCATGGCCTGCAAGTACTCTACCAATGTATAATCTTTTTTAAGAGTCTGTATGAGATTTCCACATCAATTCAGTTACTGCTGATCAATATGAGGACAGAGGCAAGATCTCATTGTTAACTCAAAGGTGTGGCCTATCACAGATTCCGATGATCTGTCCACACAAACGTCTCCACCAGCAAACTTCTCATGCAAGTCACTCTGCTCCAAATACAACTTCATGAAGTTAATGGTGAGCAGGGGATAGTGGACACCATCCAGTTCCAGATGTCTTTTGGCAATGGACTGCCTGTTGACTAGGTTCTCTTTGGTTGGTTCTTGCTCAGTAAGAACCTGTGGAGTGGAATCTTCTCCAGATTCCAGAAGGAGCATGTACAAACTTTCCTTTCTGCATCTCTGGCAGCTGCCTGACATGTGGTGCTCTCTGCACACTGCAGGCTCTTCAAGAGCTGCATCAACTTGCCAGCCACTATGATCTGCTTCAGTGCAAGTTTCAGGAAGGACCTATGGAGCGCTGCCTCCCAAAGGTGCCCTGGTCACTGCCAGAACTCGCACTGGCATTATCACTTATTTTGTCTTCATCTTCTGTCTCTTCTGATACATTGTATGATGTGTAAGTGGCACACCAGAAGTCTCTGAGATTTACTGGAACATCTTTGTTTCTGTGGATGATGAACTCCCTGGTGCCATCCCACAGTGCCTGTGCACAATCCCCCATCTGCAGGTAGGGCCATACTGTCTCCACCCAGAGAGAAAACAGGTGGGAGATGGTTTGCTCAGACGCTTCTCCAAAATTGTCATATTCAAGAATGGCCTTGTACAAGCTGTTGAACAGGTGAGATGCCCAGATGACATTTCAAGTGTCAGCACCACACTTTGTATAGAACCTTGAGCTGAGTCAATCGAGGCAACCACTTATCCACCACTATTGCGGAGTTATCCCACTGTCACCATTGATGATACACTTTTCAAATTCCTAAATTCTTCTTTGAAATTAATGAAATATTTGCACAGGGTCTACATGAAATCTTGGTAGCTTCTAAAGGGAGCTTCAGGGGACTTCTTAGAAACAGAACCGTTTCCAAGTGGCATGCTTTCAGAACAGTGTCCCATGACTTCACTGATGTACTGTTGGGAGTCAAAACTCCACCTGGGCCATATGCTGCTATTTGTTCCAGCACAGACCGTAAACAGTTATGTGTCAAATGAGTTACCATAATATTGTTCCTCACTGTTATCTAACCACTGTTATCTATATCAACTGAAAAATAAAGAGTTTTTTTCACCACTGAAAGTAACCATAGGGTTTCCTGAATAACTTGTGTCTCAGTAACAAAGACCCTGTCATCCAGAATATAGAATGGATCATTCCTATATAAGTGTTAGTCCCAGACAGCAGCTAAATTAGAGTGCGAATGTAAACTATATGAGAAAGAGTGAGGACCTAGCTGTCCAGTACTGATAAACTACATGCTATTCTAGCCAGCTTCGGACATCTGGTTCATCTGCTTTCCAGCTGCCACGAGGAGCCAGTTTTCTGTTTTGATCTTGTTCTTCAAATGGTGTCCTGTCTCCATGAATTCCAGAGTCCTCTCTGCTTAAGGGCTATTGATCATCTTTGTCTTCACTTTCTTCAGACTAGACTGATGTGTTCATATTTGGACCAAGGTCAATTTCTTCACCTTCCATCAAGTATTTCCCCCAGTCAAAATCATCTTTCTTTTCCACTTCTTTATCTCCCGGTATTTCCACATATTCCTGTTTGAAGGAGAATCAGACAGACACAGAAGTAACAGTATAGAATAATGTGCATCTGTCTTTATTTCCTATATGGTAGGAAGTGATGTATTTAGAAATTCTTCAGCTAATCTCTTCCAATTAGCAGCTTTGCTAAGATCAGAATGAATGATGAATTTTTCACATATCATTTCTATTGTCTTTTCTCTTTTGTGGCTGTTGACATCCAAGAAACAATGAAATCTGAAGTTGAACCAGGTGAAGTTTAGGGCCAGCTGGAAGTTGAGGCCCCCTCTTCCTGGATCCAGTGACATGCCAGATAAGCACAAGTCGCACTCCTGCTCTCAATCCAGCTGGCTGCAGGATGGCCTGGGCCATGCCATGCCTCCATGAGCTGGCAGCTGTTATACACTCAGAAGCTTCTAAAGCAGCGGTTCTCAACCTGTGGATCATGACCCATAGCAACTTGTATTAAAGGGTTGCAGCATTAGAAAGGTTGAGAATCACTGCTCTAAAGGTTTATGAATCTCAGATGTGGGGTAAATGTCCCAGAGGGAGAGAGTGGAAGAAGGGAGACCCAATGGGGAGGTGCTATCATTCTAAAGAGCAGATGGCAAAGCCTGCACCAGGAAATGGCTATGGTGAAAAGCAATGAGATATTTTGGAAAGTCATGGAAACTGAACACAAGGGAAAACTGAAAATGATTCACAATCAGCATAAAACTTACTGAGTTGACATTTACAGACAGATTATAATATTACAATCACATAAGAAAGGTAATTTTGATTTCAAACTAATTTAGGAAAAAGACAATGCAAAGGAGAAATAAGGATGAGCTTTGGATTCAGAGATGAAGACTTTGGTCTTAGCTTTGTATCCATTTCCTCATCTGTGAAATGAGGCTAATGGAACCTGCCTGGCAGCACTGGATGGGAACAATGAAGTATCAAGTTTTGTGGCTCGGCACCTGTGGCTCAAGTGGCTAGCATGCCAGCCACATACACCTAAGGTAGCGAGTTCAAATCCAGCCCAGGCCAGCCAACAACAATGACAGCTGCAACCAAAAAATAGCCGGGTGTTGTGGCGGGCGCCTGTGGTCCCAGCTACTTGGGAGGTAGAGGCAGGAGACTCGCTTGAGCCCAGAAGTTGGAGGTTGCTGTGAGCTGTGATGCCACAGCACTCTACCCAGGGGGATAGCCTGAGGCTCTGTCTCAAAAAAAAAATTAAAAAAAAAAAGTATCAAGTTTTATGATGGGTTGGTTCCTATGAGCAGTCAAGCAGTACACTAGCAGTGAACAGGTGCAATCTCTACAATGAAGCAGGGTTTAGGTTACCTAGAAACCGCTCCTCCTGTAACTTCCCGAAGAAGGCGGCAATGATGAGGAACGAACTCCAAGAGTTTATTGTACGTGATCTGAAGGCCAGTGGGATGAGACCCGGCAGAGTGCTCTGCAATCACCTAGTAAAAAGAGTATCATTTTAAAAAAACATTTTAAAAGAGAAGTATAAACTATACACTTCAGAGGAAAAAGAAAACTAATAATATGCTTCCTCACACTGTCTCCCCCCCAGTTGACATGTTTTCTAAACAGTGAGGTAAATAACAAGTCCCACTGAAAACTAGCTCCTAGAATTAGGCTGACACGGGCAATTGAACGATCCTCCTTTCTTCCTGGCCAACAAACTTCTCCATATTTTTTCAAAACGGGGACCCAATGTCATCTCTTCCCTGAGGACTTGTGGGTCTACAACTGTCCTCTCCCACTCATACACACACGCTTTCCATATTCACAGTGCTCTCTGTGTGTTCTTTGTACACTACAGTGTTGTCACTGCATAATCATCTTGTTCCATTGACAAGACCAGGGATCTGAACACTTTAACAACTTTATTGAGGTATAATCTACATGCCATGAAATTGACCTAAGAAGCATTCTGATGCACACCTTTTTCCTAGGTGATACTCTTACTTCCACTAAGTTAAGATATACCGAGCCACAGCATCACTAGGACATACCAAAGCTGACCCAATTCCTGCCACACCTATTATAACCAACAAGGAGCAGCCCTTTCTTACAGGTGATACTGGAGTAGCTATGAGAATCTTCCCAGAAAGATCTCTCTTGTATTTTCTGATATCCCTCACACCCAGTAAGAAGCTGAAGACCAAGCAGATATTCTGAGTGTCTGTTAAATAAGGTACACAGACCTCCTCTATGTATGGCTTCACTAGTACTTGACCAACTAAGGCCTCCGCGTCCCGTGTCTTATCAATTGTGGCGTATGTCCACAGGCAGTGTCGTATGATGTCCACGTTGGAAGTCTGAAAGCCTTCCAGCAGGAGACTTTCCAAGGACTGCTGCAACATGGCTGTGATGCCAGCTATGCGCTGCAAGAAGAGAGGAATAAGAGAGCTCCAGCTGGAACCACTTTGAAAAATTTTAATATACACAGAACAAGTCTCTTATACCAACAGAAGATGATATATGTAAAATTAAAGTATTACTATTTCCTGAAGAGTAACAATGACTCCCTCCTTCTCTCCACAATCCCTCAAAAGTAAATCTCTACTGCATCAAAGTAGTTAGACAAAATTACAGAATGATAAAAAAGGCATTTTGGGGCGGCACTATGGCTCAAAGGAGTAGGGCGCCAGCCCCATATACTGGAGGTGGTAAGTTCAAACCCGGCCCGGGGCCAAAAACAGCAAAAAAAAAAAAAAAAAAAGATATTTTCCTCTTCAGCTACAGAATCTTATGATCATAATCTTATGATACACAACATGGATTTAAAGCCCAGTTACTCAGCCTTTAGATAAATTAAATATGTCTACACATGTAATGTGTTAAATTACATAAAAATCAGAATTAATTTTACTCTTATAATTTAGGGAATGTGATTAGGTCTTTACACAAAACCTATAACGTATGACACATAAGACACAGGAGCCCAAAAACTGAAAAAAATTCAAGACCAGCTTCAGAATCCTATACATCAACAATTAATATCAGGGCCATTACTATGTTAAATCAAAATTATTTAGCATATAATAAGCATAAAATTGTGAAAATCCAACACTTACTGGTCTTACTTTGTCCATAAGAGGCATGCCTTTGCTCTGAACAGCATGAAACTGCAACTGATTAAATTCTGTGGCAATTCTCTCCAAAATTTGTCCAGTTGAAAGTAGGCTAATAGAAAAAGCAATATAGAAATTTAATTCCTAAGGTTTCTATTTCCATGAGAATACATCAACATTAGCAATGTAATGCTTTAACACTGACTATGTTTTAACTTTTACCAAGTGATTTTCCGTGGCCTTCTTGTTACAGCTAAAGCGCCTTTCGCCAATTCTCCCTATGAGCTACATACACAGCCCAGTCTAGGTGCAATGGGGAATAAGGTTAAATACAAGCTATTGGTGCTTCCTGGCCTGGCCATAAGGTGGGTGCAACCACATGTTTCTAACACATTCTTCACACTCTGCCACTTCCGACCACCTTCTTCATTTCTAATCCCCCTTCTCCTCTCTCTCTCCCCCTGTCATCCTATCCTATTGTTTATACCTGGCTCCTTACTCTTCTATTTCTCTACCTGTCTCATACTCCCTTGCAAAATATAATATCTCTACTATTTTTAGAACACCAGATATTTTTGTCTCCTCAGTAAAAAAAAAACTGGCCCTTCAGCAGCAATAAAATACCTCAAACGGGCTTACCAGACAGCTTAAAGTAGTCAATAGATATCCTCTGGGCCCTGGTGAGAGGGCATTCTTTGTGTCTCTGCCGCAAAGTATAATAAATATACTCCCTCCCCAAACACATTATAAAGTGTTAATACCATTCCAAAGGAAGTAAAACAGCAAAGAAGTATAAAGGCCTCAAAGCACCTGCTGGGCTTTGCTGAGGCCTCCTACATCTCCTAATGAAAACTCCTTAGTGAGGAAAAAGACCCACGTTATAAGGACATGCAAAATGCCATGCTGAGGCCATAGGGGGTCTTCCTAGCCCTGTACTCATAGCATCCAGGCCAAGTCAGAAGGAGAGGTGTGGCCAACAGAAAAAGTCAACTCTGCCTTGAATTTCCCTGCTCCCAGGTTACTCTCTGAATAACTTCATGTGAACTAGTTATTTATATCTAACTGAAATGGTTATATTGCCCTCCTTTTACCTTCTCCAAAGCTCAAGATTGCTGATATGGATTAAGAAAAGCCCTTGTGGCTCAGCGTCTGTGGCTCAAGTGGCTAAGGTGCCAGCCACATACACCTAAGGTAGCGGGTTCGAATCCAGCCCAGGCCCGCCAAACAACAGTGACGGCTGCAACCAAAAAATAGCCGGGTGTTGTGGCGGGCGCCTGTGGTCCCAGCTACTTGGGAGGCTGAGGCAAGAGAATTGCTTGAGCCCAGGAGTTGGAGGTTGCTGTGAGCTGTGATGCCACAGCACTCTACCCAGGGGGATAGCTTGAGGCTCTGTCTCAAAAAAGCCCTTGAAAGGTGGTGATTCAGGGTGAGGAAGACTACAATGCCTCTCATGCTAAAGATGAGACTTTCCCAAGAAAGAGCAGGGACAGAAGTAGACATACTGTATCAGAAGCTATCCCTTCATGAGGGATGTTTGGTACCTCTTCTTAGGACACTGTGGGTATAACAAGAAAGACCTAGCCCCTGATGTCAGGGATTGTATAAACCAATAGGGAAAAAGTCAGAAAACAGGTGACTACATGAAAGTTCTCAGGTTGGTGGCCTAGAGGCCGAAATGAGAACACAGATATGGGGCATCTAAATCAGAGAGGTCAGGGAAGACTTCCTAGAGGAGGTGGTCCTGTAACTGAGTGTGATAAAAGGTAACTTCTGCAGTGCCTTGTTTGTATAGTCTGTTACAAAACTGAATGGGATACCATTTAAAGAAAGAAGGGATCAACAGTATCCAACACTAGAATAAATTTTACAAAAACACATCCACGTTATTTTATAACCTGCATTTTTTTCATTTAGCACAGTACCTTGAACAACCACCTTTCTATACTTTAAGCATGTTTTGAGCTGAAAGAACAAAAAGGAATTAGGAAAGAACAAAAAGGAATTAGGCTGATGAAGGGAAGGTGGGAGAGAAGGAAAGTACAGATGGATGGGCACACATGAAATTACAAAAGCTTAAATTAGCAATGTCTGTGGGAGTCAGGGAACCACATGCAGTTCTCAATAACTTTAGTGAAAAATATAGGAGAGTGGCAAAGGGTGGTTAGGAATTTAATATTTATCCGAAAAACATCTGGAAACCTTTGGAGGACACACCACACACTGAGACATTATGACATATTTGAAAGCATCGAGTTAGTGTCCTAGAGAAGATAAGGGGTCAGTGAGGAGGCCGTTGCCTGAGATACGGAAGTGGAAGAGCTAGACCAGAGGAGACTGACATCTCACCAGGTCAGAGACGACAAAGGGGCAGACTCTAGAGGACTTGCCCAGGGAACAGAAGGAGGAGATGAACAGGAAAAAAAGAGAAAGACTCCCCTAAATTTTGGGCCTGGTTATTGAAGGAAATCGAGGTACCATTTCCTAAGATGAGGAATGAAAGAGAAGAGTGGCATTTTCTTTTTTTTTTTTTTTTCTTTTTGCCCCTAGAGGCAGGGAAACATGAGTTCAGCTTTCAATAACATCAGTGTGAGATGCCTACAGAATATGCAATAGACTCCTAGTAGCCAGATGGACGTGGACCTGAAGACTACAGAATACCATCTGGGGAGCACCACTCAAGGGGTAGTGAAAACCAAGAGGCTGCAGGAGGCCACCCAGAGTGCTTACTAAGGTGGGGCTGAGAACAGTGTCCTGGGGAAGCTGGCATCAAGGGGGGAGTGGAGTCCACTGGAGAAAGAGAGTGGGAATAGCCAAAGATGGAAGAAGGCATCACAGATGCCCAGAGAGCGAGCACAGAGTGGGAAGGGTTGAAGCTGTAGAGTAAAAGAGAGAAGCGGAGCAGTGAGATGTGAATTGGGCCCCCGGCCTTCTCAGAGTGAGCATCAACGTTGACTCTGACAAGCACAGATGAGTGGAGTGGAAGGGGCAGAAACACAGTGCAGTCAGCTGAGAAGACGACAGCAGGGACTGACCCCTTCTGCGTGTCATGATCAGGAAAGGAAGTGGAGACCCAAGACAGGAAATCCCTTCCTTTCCAGGTGCCTTGTTTCTTAACCTATAAAATGAGAGATAGGAATCACGGTACCATATCTAAGGCCCTCCAAATCAAAAATTCTGATTCCCTACAAAAATCCACATGCCTTCATAGTAGGTCAAGACTTAGAACTACTGGTATATTCAGTTTGGTCTTGGTCAGTTTCCCAGCAGCTCATCCTGTGTCAGTCACAGAAAACGCTGAGACCATCAAAGTGACTTTAGAGATGCCAATGTTAGACCCAAGCTGGACATGCGTGAGGGCCGGCTGTGTGCCAGGTGCTGCTGGCAGTGTTAACTAGTGGCCTTATATTAGAGCACTAATTACACTGACACAGTTCTTGACTTGACTCAGGCTGCCTAGCTGGGAAGGTTTCCCGGCAGTTCCCATGAGGTTTCCCACCAGTACTGACATGATCCAGTCAACTCATTTCCTGAGTCACTCACTATCTGGCTGATTTTAAATTCAGAGGAAGAAGGTCATAAGACAGATACAGTATAACAAAAAAAATGGTTATCTTTTTCTTATGTTATAAGCTTTTTCTTCGCGATGTATAAATTTCAACTAAATGTGTCCTGAGCTATTTCTTACTCATATAATTAATGTTAGTATATGTTCAACCCCAGGATACATCAACCATAATAAAACAGCTGCAATGAATTCTGTCCTACATCTTGAAGATCCGTAAGAATTTTGCTAATTCATGGAAGGAAATTCCAAAACTAAACATTTGCTACAGAAAGCACACGTCTGATTTCCTGAAAGGTGCTATGTTTGAACTTTGGCTGCAACCGTGAAGACTTTCTAAGAATAAGTAACATAAACTTTACCATTTCACACACTCTACTTTCCTTGAGCTACAGTTAAAAACATTAAGCCATAGACTTGGTTACACTATTGGGTGACAGGATACACTTAGCTGTGATTCCAGCATTACAAAAGTGATCCAGTAACCAAAAACATTTGTACCCCCACAACATTTTGAAATATAAATAAACAAATGCATACATACGTATAAAAACACTAAGACACAGACTTGGTTTCTTTTTTATCAGAAATGAATTTTATCCGAAAGAACACTTTAGCCTGGTGTGACACATTAATTTATGTGTTATTTAGTTAAAAATACCTACCTGCTCGCTTCTAGCAAAGATGTTTCTTTAGAACTTTGAGAATTTAAGATTTTTTCAATTTTCTCAACTGATCGAATAACTTGTATAAGCCTCAACACACACATCTATGAAAATAAAATTTAAGGGGAAAATGTTATGATGTTTAATCTTAGTTATCTTGTCATCCTAAATGCAAGATAACACAAAAGCAAAAAAGTTAATGCAAAATACTTAGAGCAAGCAGTCTACATTTTGGATATTCCTATATAACTCTGAATTCCCAAGAATGCAAACCTTAATTCTTTCTAAAACAAGCATATTTAAACATTCTATTTTTTTTTTTTTTGCCTTCTTATGAGCATATTCTTCATTCTTATTCCTTCTTTCTTTCCCATCTGAAGTGAACCTTTCTTTTGGCACATTTATTTTCTTAAGATCCTTTCTTCATGTTTTAATTTTAGTTTCTGATCCTCTCCATTTACATGTTCATCATATCCCTAAATACCTAAGTGCCAATTTACTAAATACATCACCAAAGAGTTTAAGGAACATTTTAAAAACTCTTCACCCTCAAAAGAAAAAAAAAAACTACAAAGTCACTCATGAAATAAATAGTTAATTAAGCATCTATTATCAATCAAGACATCCTTCTAGACAGTAGGGACATGAGTGAACAAAACAGGTAAAAGCCCTCTGGCCACAGACTACATTCTTGAATCTTTAGACAAAAACTGAAAAGGGACCTAAAAGGGTAGTTAAACAAAGTCTCCTCTCCTTTGAGATTTTAAACCAGTGCTAATGAAGAAATCTAGGAAACACAGGGAAGAGCACTGGGACACTCAGAAGTCTTGAATTCCATTTCCAATTCTGCCATTATGTAACTAAGAATTACAAAAAAAATCAGAAAACACAGGACCCCTGAAAAGTAAAGGCAGTGCATCCAAAGAAATACACAGAATGAAAAACAAGAAGGCGCAGCAACACCACACTCCTTTTCTAGAAGTGCAGACCTCCAGTAGAATACTGAAAGAGCTTACTTTAGAAAACCTGCTTCCTCCCTCATCTCTAAAAGGCAAATAAAAACACTTCTTTATAGGGGTGTTCAAAAAATACATAATATGCTTATAAAACTCTACAGAGTACTTCACTGTCAGCTTTCACTATTTCTTCTCCTGAAGAGGAATTTTAATTTAGTGAGTGCTTGGGTACCTCTAAGATTCTGTCTTCTTCTTCTACCTTCAAATAGGTAACAAGACGGAAGGTATGAGAAGACACCAGGAGGGGCTATGAGCAGGGATGTAACACAAGAAATCTGCAGCTTTCTTTAAAAATGTCCACGCTGCCATAAGTAAAGCACAAGACAACATGCAATTTTCTTTGGCATTTTTAAAAAATTAATTACTTTGCCCCATTCATCAGGCCAGGAAGGAGGAGACCTGGGCTCTGCCCCTCCGTAGCCTTGCTGAGCCAGTGAGCCAGGACCTCATGTTCCTCTCTGCAAAGGTCCCAGTAAGAGGAAAGCAGACCACATGCCTGAAGGTGACTGTTGCTACAAAGTGCTAGAGTGAGTCGATGCTTTAATGTCATGACATGGGAGCATACCTTTTTTTTCCTAATGTCTTCTTGTTTAGACATTCGTTCATCTACTGCCCGTATTCCTTCACTGACAGATGATCTAAGACTCTTCAAAGAATTAAAAAAAAAACAAACTGTACTGTAGAAACTGTTTTGAAACATGAAATTTACACATTGAATTCATAGGATTTAATATCTCTGGGCCAGTATTATACTGATATTGACAAAATTACAAAATATTAGATACAATTGCTACTTAGGGGACTCATGATTTAGGGGCAAAATGATATATGAAGCCAAAGTCACACATGATTAACTCTCAAAAGAAAATACCTGAGCATTACAAGTGGCCAGGGCAGAGAAAGAACACCCTGGGCCAAAGTCAGGGCCACCTGGCACGGGGAATGGGACTTGAGGTAGGCTCTAAAGATCCAAGGACACCAACACACAGAGACAGGAGACTAGTAGAAGACAAAGGTAGGAAGATAGAGCCGGTGTGACGTATTTGGGGTGAATATATAGTGAAGCGAAACTCCATGTGCACTGCAGGCTTCATTTTGGAGAATAAATAAGTAGAATAAATACAAAGGGGCCAATTTAAGAGAACTTTGTCAGATAAAGACTTTAGTCTATTAATGCTTTATGTGTTTTAAGTATTAATACACCATGATGGAGATGCAGTTTGGAGAAAATTAGAAATCAAAACATTAAGAATAGGATGGCCAGGACAAGGGAGAGATTATAGGTAGAGAAGCATGTCTAGAAGCTAATGAATTAAGCCAAGTATGAGGTAATTAGAAACTAGGGCCAAAACGAAGGTAAACAACAGAGTAAAGAGGACAAATCACAAAAATTCTGTAGAAAAGTGAATTCATCCATTCAACAAGTGTCATGAAATACCCACTAAACTATGGGTAATACCCAGGTACTATGCCAGCCAGTGAGGTGCCAAGGCAGACAAGACAGAAACAGTCTCACCCTGCAATGATCTTAGAACCTCACAGAGCTCATAAGTTGGAAGTCAAAAAGGACAGGTCAGGCCTACAGACAAACCCATTAGGAAAAAGGCATCAGGACAGCAGTGGGGAAAGTGGGAAAGTTATGATGATGCTGGTGTGTGCTCAGGCAAGACAGAGCCTGTGAGTGTGAGACCAGCGCCCAGGCAGACCAGGGGGCAGGAGAGCATTTAGAGAGGAGAGAGGGAAGCTGAAGGCTAAGGCTCAGGAAATATGGTCTCCACAGCGGGGCAGGACAAGATACGCTGAGAAGAAAGCAGGGAAGCCACAGCAGCCACACAGAGGCTAGTGTGAAATCCAATAGTGAACCACAAACACCATTTGCCTTCCATTCCAAGGAAAGCACTTTAACAAGTTTTTCTTAAAAAATCAAAACAAGATGTAAACACCCAAAAATATTTACTTGTTCCAGGCACAACTCAAGACCTCTGTTTCGGGAATTCTTTCTTGCCTATTGCCTCATGGACTTTTAAGAACTGACATTTCTGTCATTCTACATTTTTTCAGCACTCTATATATGCTGAACACTTACTATGTCATTTCCTGGGAGCCTACAATGTGCCAGGCACTGTCTCAGGGGCCAGGTGCAGAAGGTATGGCCTTATGAAGTTTCACACGACCTAGTGGAGTTTGCACATGTAATAACGGTGTAGTTCACCAAGTTTATGGCAGCTCATCAGTGCTAAGGAAGCCTGGAAGCCAGGGTACCTAACACAGGCCTGGGGGAGCACCAGTGGGGAAAGGACAGGGAAGCAGAGTTTTCTATCTGAAGTGATGCCAAAACTCCCTGCTCTATTGTTTATCCAGATGGAGCCTCTGTCTCCAGTGGTTTAGAGGTGGGGAGTGCCATTGCCACAGCAGGCATTATCTCAGAGAAACATTAAAATACAATTTTTATTAGGTATTACCTCAATTTTATATTATTCTTCAGTTACATTAGGGTTTAAAGACCTTTTATGGGTAGTGTAGGAACCTAGCCACACATAAAATATGATTTGGGAAAATACATGTAAAACTACAAATTTTTAAGACATAATCTATTCCTAACTTGGTGACTATGTACATATAAGTGGGGTTGCACTAACAAACTGAATTATTCAAAGAGCAGTCTGCTCCCCCCACATTTTAAAGCTGTCTACTCTGAGAATCTGTCATCTTCAAATCAAATGTGTCTTATAGGTTGTGGCACCACATGCAAAAAATACAGAATCATTCACAAATTCTTTGAGTGTGACCAGTGTAATCATTAAAAATTCAAAAAAACCCTAAAAAACTAAAAAAAGCAACAGCCTAACAGGTTAAAGGAATTCTTCTTGGAGGAGACAAATAAGTATATCATGTTTTAAATTACTTAATATTATTTGGGGAACTTACCAGAACCTCTTCTCGTAGCTGTCCCAAAGGCACAGAAAGCTGGTTGAGGGCTTTGTCCATGCCAACCTAAAGGCAAAAATCACGTTGGCACAAACACAGCATAATCAAGCTTCTACTTAATGATCAAAGCAGAACCAAACTTAGGTTATTCTTTCTGTACAATAAAAATCTACAACCAAATATGGTTAAGTAATCAAATAAGGTTATTTTGCCATAGCACTGACAGAATATGAAAAAGACCTGTTGGAAATACACAAAAATAGTGTAAATAAAGGAAATCATTATAAATGAAAATCTTCTTATGCACAATTTACCTTTGGATGAAAATTATTAATGAATTTGAATAGCTATCTGTCTATAATTTATGATACTCAACTGACTAATGTGAAATTCTGATGGACTCTCTCTCTCCTAAACATAACTCTTGAGAAATATTCAAAGTAAATCAAATAGAAATACAATTTTCTGGGTTCCTAACCCTACTGGAGCATTTAACTTAGCAGTACATTTCCCAAGAGCAAATATGGCTCATTAGTTTAAATGCAGAGATGGCCATTTTCTTGTTTGGACAAATAGGTTTTTTTTTTTTTTTTTTTTGAGACGGAGCCTCAAGCTATCCCCCTGGGTAGAGTGCCATGGCATCACAGCTCACAGCAACCTCCAACTCCTGGGCTCAAGCGAGTCTCCTGCCTCAGCCTCCCAAGTAGCTGGGACTACAGGCGCCCGCCACAGCGCTCGGCCATTTTTTGGTTGCAGCCATCATTGTTGTTTGGCGGGCCTGGGCTGGGGATTCGAACCCGCCACCTTAGGTGTATGTGGCTGATGCCTTAGCCACTTGAGCCACAGGCACCAAGCCTTTTTCTTTTTTTTAATCTGAGACAGAGTCTCACCATGTCACCCTTGGTAGAGTGCTGTGGCATCACAGCAACCTCAAACTCTTGGGCTCAAGCAATTCTCTTGCCTCAGCCACCCAAGTAGCTAGGACTACAGGCACCCACCACAACACCCAGCTACTTTTTGGTTGTAGTTTTCATGGTTGTTTAGCAGGCCCAGGCTAGATTTGAACCCACCAGCTCTGGTGTATATTGCTGGTGCCCCAGCCACTGAGCTATAGGTGCCAAGCCACAACTAGATTTTAAAAGCAAAATAAAATATGAACAAGGAAACTAAAAGGCAAAGTTTGGGAGTATTAAAGGTTGAGCACCTCTGAGCTATTTTTATACAGGTAACTTATGTGTTCATGACAAATGATGTTTTTTGTTTTTTTTTTTTTGCGACACGGTCTCACTCAGTTGCCCCAAGGTTGAGTTGGTCATGGCATCATAGCTCACAGCAACCTCAAACTCTTGGGCTCAACTGATTCTCTTGCCTCAGCCTTCTGAGTAACTGGGACTACAGATGCCCACCACAACTCCTAGCTATTTTTTTAGAGATGGGGTGCTGCTCTTGCCTAGGCTGGTCTCAAAATCTGTAAGCTCAAGCAATCTGCCTGCCTCAGCCTCCCACAGTGCTGCGATTATAGGCATGATTTTATAAATCAAGCCTCCTAAGGATCATTATTGGCCAATATTCCTTCAATAATATCAAATTCAAAAAAATATTCATGCTAGAGCAGTCTTAAATGAGTAAAAACAAAAATGTCTACCTAGAAAGTCTGGTTCTTTTATTAATGAAATTAATGATCTCTTCAAATTTGGGGGGGAAATCAACTAAAAGATTTCTAAAAACACTCAGCACTTTTAAAAATAAATATGAATGAGAGAGAAACCATGTGTGTAGATGTAGGAATCGCATATTTAAAGTTTACCAAGTTTGTTGAAAGGTTGACAAAGTCTGCATAGTCCTTGTTTATGAGCTCAACCATGGCTGTTTTGAGCAGCCTGTAGTAGAGCTCCAGGTCATCTCTCAACTCTTCCAGTTGGACCCGCTTCCTACAGTCAGACACAAAATGATCCACATCAAAATCTTCCTGAAAAACAAAACCAGGAGAGAAAACAACTGTAATGGTATCACATTACATATGCCTGGAAAAGAAAACGAGGGAGAGGGAGGGAGGGGGAGAGAGAGAGAGAGAGAGAGAGAGTGAGAGAGAGAGAGAGACCCCTTCTAGTAATGGACAAGGCCACACTGCTGCAGGGAGAAATGCTCTGACCACTCATGACACATCAGGTGTTACTTCACTTCGTAAAGGCGACAAAATGGGGGCTCAGGCCCAGAACATTCTCGTATGCTGCCTAAATTCTATAAATGAAAACTCATCTATTTTTCAAAATGACACATTTCAATTAGGGTTTTCTCAAAACAGAAATAGCGTTTTCTTCCTTAATTTTAAGGAATAAACATTTGATGTAAAATGTAAGCAACAAGGAACTACATAAAAGTGAGTAAAAAACCATCCAAACTCTTGGGCTCTAGAGAGAAGCACTATTAATATATTTTTTGTCTCTAATATTGCAATTTACATCCATCCAGACTTCTTTTTCTACATGTGCACACATACAGTCTTAACAACCATGCTGTCGTGTAATCTGGTTTTCCCCATATAACAATACAATTTGGATGTCTTTTTATAACACAAATTTGTGCTAACATTTTATACAGATGTTGAGTGCTCCACATGAACAGGTGTTTAGAAGCATGCTTCACCAGTTTCCAAGTACTGGTCTCAGAAGATGAGCCACGCTCACTTTCTGCTTCCCCTTGGTAACAGTTGATGCTCCTGGCAGGCTGGCAGGTTACAGCAGCCCTTGGTAACAGCTAATGCTCCTGGCAGGCTGGCAGGTTACAGCAGCCCTTGGTAATAGCTGATGCTCCTGGCAGGCTGGCACACTTGCAGCTGGCAGGTTACAGTCAGCCCTTGCTAACAGCTGATGCTCCTGGCAGGCTGGCACACTTG